AGCTTTTTTAACTTGCCGGAGTTCGCTTTGCACACCTTGCCGGCCAAGGCACGAACAAGAAATCCTGCTTCGGAAGCCGCGTGGATAGCTCGACGCCGGAAGAGTGTGAAGCGATGCTTAAAGCTGAACGATGCCCCTCGGGACATGCTGCGGCTGAGCAAAAGTTCCCGCAAGGCAGCTGGAAATGCAATTTCCACCAAGCACGAGGAAGCGACCAAAAAGTTGTCGGAGCTGAAGAAAAGACGGTGCTTTCAAGCTCAGCATGCTGCGGCAAGAGCAGCTTCGTCCAGCAGAGCACAGCCAATGCTTGGAGCGTAGGAGGAAAGCTGACCACCAAGCTCAGCTCGAAAGCTCGCTGCGGAAACGCAGGCGGAGTCAGCCTGAACTTCCAGCTCTGGCCAATATGCGCCTTGGCGTTTGAATTTGCTTTTGCGCCTTTGTTCTTGCAAGTTTTCTTAGGCGATTGCTCGCGAAAGAGGAGGCAGACTCTACTGACTTGCACCAGAAACTCCACTCTTTGGGTGCCCTGGTGGTCAATGATTATCTCTTGGCTGAAGGCGTTGTGGTGAACAATGTCGCAAAACCTGGCTCTCGAGCTTCATGGCTAATGCGACTCTCTGGTGGTCTTATCGTAAGCCAAGCTGCGATCAAGACCGGGTTTGGGCCTTGGGTTAAATACAAAGGGCCAGCCAAGGGCACCCGAAGACATGTGCTCATTACGCCATCATTTCGCAAACGTCATCCGCGATTCGCTGTCTTGGCACAAACACGCATGCAAGAGCTCAACTGGAAAGTGTACGTGCGGGCCTTGGCTGGCTGTGGCACACTTGTCGTCCTGTCCGTGCCCCGTTTGCCTTGTTTGGAGCGGCGCGCCCCTGGTAACAGAACTGAGGACAAGGCTGCCACCTGGGTGAACGCAGCCAAAGCTGCCAAGACCAAGAAGAACTATGTGAGTGTAGGACTTGTGCAGGAAAAGTCCGTGCTGACATCCACAAAGATGTTCAACGCCCATACATTTGTACAGTGGGGAGCTCTTGGGGCAATAGAGCGATTCTGCCTGGGTCACAGCCGCCAATGACGAGCATTGGTCGCTGCACAGAATCTGCAGACTGGGGAAGAGGGCTGCCACTGCCTCGCGTCATAACAGAGAGAAACACGTCTATGCGATGGCTCGCTGTCTGATGACGGAAAGTGCTTCTTGAAGCGCTGGGAGTTAAACAGTGTACAAAGCCGTGGGGGGGTGGGGGGAACCTTGTCCCGGCTGATGCGCGGGTCCGGTCAGCCGAAAAATCCTCCATTTTGTGGGAGTTTTGTTTGAGCGCTTTCTGCCACGCAAGCCTGGTTTTTGGTGTTGCTCCCTGTGTCTGCCAAATGAACAATTCTGATGCATCAGAATTTTGGGCCCCTGCGAGTTCTGATGCACTAGATTTTGGGTCCCTGCGAGTTCTGATGCACTAGATTTTGGGCCCCTGCGAGTTCTGACGCACTAGATTTTTGAGTCTAAGTCGTTTATGCTTTTTCAAACGGGTCCTCGGGCTCTTTTGGGCCCGACAGCCCGAGTGCCGGGGGGTTCCGAACCCCCTGGCACTGCGAGTTCTGATGCATCAGAACTTGCAGTGCCGGGGGTTCCCCCCCCATTTTCGAGTCCCAAGCGCCGGGGGGTTCCGAACCCTGGCACTCGGGACTCGAAAATGGGGGGTAACCCCTGGCACTGCGAGTTCTGATGCAGAACTTGCAGTGCCAGGGGGTACGGAACCCCCTGGCACTGCGGCTCAAAATCGGGCTGACCTGCTATTTGTTTTGGGGGGTATGTGCAATTAAGCCCCAAGCCGAGACTACTACGTCTTGTTGTCTGTTGTCTGGTGCGCTCATGTGTTCTGTCTGCCCGTCAAGCCGTTTCACGCTTCGCCCCGCAGCCAGCTTTCCTCCAGTTGCTTCTTCAGCTGACTTGCTGCGTTGCCGCAGAAAGTCCGTGAAGCATGGGGAAGACATCCTTGAAGGTGAAGAAAACTGGCATCAAGAAGCCTCCTCGCGTGGAGAAGGTGGAGTCACATTGCCAGCGCAAGTGGCCAATCATGCTTGGGAGCGACTGCAGCGGCATGGGAACTGATGTTGTGGCAGCGAAGCAACTGGGGATTGAGTTCATGGTTCAGTTTGCCACCGATGTGGACCCAGATTGCCGAAAGGTGATTCTTTCCCACAAAAAGGGACCGAGGAGTCTTGGATATGCTCTTGGAAATGTTTGCGAGAAGTGTGACTTGTACACAGCTGGGTTTCCGTGCCAACCATACAGCAGACTGCCAGAACAAGTAGCTGTTTTCAACCGAGTTTGGGTTACTTTCTGTTTTTTTGCACATAGGTCTTTGCTTAGTCTGCTCCTTCCGAGGTACGGCGGGCGTCGGGCAGGGGAAATGCGACCAACGTGATTTATCAAAGGCTGTGGTGGACTACATCTGCCGCATGCAACCGCGTGGATTTGTGCTGGAGAATGTGACGGGCATCCGGAATAAGAAGCACAGGAAGCACTTCAACAAACTTCTGCAGCAGCTCAAGGAATGTCGGCTTCCTGGGTCGCAGAAGCGGGCCTATGCTGTGAGCTGGCGAATGGTGAACAGCCGCAGTTTCGGGCTTCCGCAGAACCGGAAGAGGATCTACATCATGGGCGCCAGGAGGTCCACGCGCAAGGGTGTGAAAACCAGAAAACCAAATATGGTCCACTCGCTGCCTGAAAGCAAGTTCGCTTGCCTGGACGACTTCTTGGAGAAGGGGCTTCCCAAGGTGGACATCAAGAAGCTTTGCAAAACCAAGCGGAACAACATTTTGGCAGGAAGGAAGAAGCTCAAGGCGAAGGGTGTTTGGAATCTGGACAGGGACATCATCGACGCAGGAGCCGGGAAAAACTTCCGGCAGGTCACCTCGGGCTATGTTCCCACAATCACATGTGCACGAGCCTCCGGCGACAACTTCTGGCTCGACAACGATTCTTGTCCAAACCAGATTTAGCGAGTGCAAATAATCAAGTGTGGCGAGTTGCGCAGCCCGCAGCCCGCTTACAGCCTGTGCTAAGGAAAGTCGCTTTCTCAGCCTCAAGGAGCTGGCGGCTTTGCAGGGATTCCACAACTTCCGCTGGCCCAAAAGTGTGTCCCGCGCCAAGAGAGGCAAAATGGTGGGCAACGCCATGTCGGTTCCTGTCCTGAGGGAGGCAATGAGGGCGGTGCTCACGGCAGCTAGGTTGATCCGCTGGGCCTAGTAACTGTGGAGCCACAGTTATTAAGACAAGAGCTGCTTTTGTTTAATTTGCTGGGACGATGGCCCTGCTTTGGGTTGGTGCTCCGCGACTGCAAGAATTGACCGGGGTAAACAAAAAACGGAAGCGTTGCTGATGTGGATCAAATTCGACTTTTCACAGAGCGTGGCCCGTGCTTTCAGATTAAGGCTCATCCGCAGTTTTCAGATTAAGGTTCATCCGCAGTGTTTTTTTGTTTGAGGCCCCCGGTGCCAGCTGCGTAACCGCAGCGAGGCGCAGACTGCTATGGTTCAATCAACATCCTCGGCAAGCTCAACCCCGGTGCAATGCCGGAACATAAGCACTTCCCACTACGATGACGTGAGGAAGGCTTGGGAACTCATTGCGGGGCGCGGGCCTCAGTAATAGAGATGCCATCAGTCAGTACTGCGCTGCTGCTCAGGACGTTGAGTCAATGAAGCCCTTAACGATCGAGGAGGGCGGTCGTCAAGACCCCTTTGACAATCGCAAGTTGCAGTCCATGATGGAGGCCTTGAAGGAGGGAGATTCCACTACTGACCAGTACATTGCAGGCGGCAATGTAGCGTGGGTTAGCTGGTCATGGTCTTCGACTGCAAGTGTGCCAGTGTACAAGAGCAGCGTAAAGTGGATCATGCACACCACGTACAAGACGCCCCAGCCTATAAATTTGGTGGTGGCAGTGGATGACTTGTTTATGGACCAGAAAAATGGGCAAATGAAGAGGATAGTCCGGAGGAGGACCATCACGCCTTCATCTTGGCCACAGCGAGGGACTTGCAGCAAGACAAGTTCCAGGAGGCCGGCGCCGTCGCTGTCTTGGCCCCTAAATACATTACTAGCCAAGCATTGAGTTGCCAGCGCAGGAATGGAGAAGGGCATGGCTGTCAAGCCCGGGCTGAATTTGTTCTGGGAAGCGGCCAAGCAAAGGGAGGATGTTGGGACCAGCTACGAGACCATGTACTACAGCCCTGTGCAACGCATCTTTCAAATAGTGTCCTTCAAGTTGAATCACGAATCAGCTTCCAAGACCAAGCTGACGACTAAGAAGCTTTTCGAGATTATTAATTTAATTTTGATTTATTAATTTAATTTCTTGCAAAAAGTACTTAAAGAAATATTAATTATATATATTATCATACAAATGGTTGTATTTACAGAGGTTGAACAGGAAGAAATTATCAATGAATTCTTAACTTTTATTCAGCTTTACAACGCCAGTCCTACTTGCGCGCCCTTGTCAAACGCGTACCATATCAGGAAAGGATAGGAAAGGGGAAACTGCGGATGGGTGCGGAGCACCGCGTAAAGACAAAAGTTCAGATCACGGATGAATGCCAACATCGATCCTGCGCGAGAGAACAAGGTAGCAGTTGCCTTCGATCTGAAAACGTCAGCCAATACTGCAAGCATCTCACTGCTCGTCATGCCTTGTATCTGTATTCCAACCGTAGTCGAAAAGGGGTTCCGAAAGACGATTTCCAACTTACTTCTTTTCCGATCCTTTCCTTTGGCCCAGGAATTTGAGGCCAACCTGTGTTTCCACTGCTTCCTGACAGGGACCTGATCGGCGATTGGGCAGGGCGTGATGCATCATGACTCACAGTCAAGGGTGCATCAGGCTGGAGCAAGAAGCGGGGAACATGACGAGCCCATCATCAGTTACGTTTCCAGCTACTTGACAGGGATTTGACTCCTTCAAGGGTCACACCGAAGAGCCCCGCTTCAATCTGAGGCCACTGCGCGAACCGCTCTGTTCACATTGCCGCTGACAGCCTTGGCCTCACGCCGCAAAACGGGTTTCCAATCCTCAAGGATTGGCTGCTCAACGCTTGGTCGATTTACTCCGGGGGCTTTGAGAACTACAGAGAAAACGTGGAGGTGACAGCCGCCAACAACCAGCTTGGGAATCCTTGCGGTTTTGGATCAGTTCAAGCAGCAAAGGGGGTCGGGCGTGTCAGTTGTTCTCCGTGGCCTACACGTACAGCCACATCAGCAAGTCCTGGGGCGAAGGGGAGCAGGAAGAATTTGGCAGGACGCTCGCCGTTTTTGGGGAGGAAAAAGGGCTCCAAAAAGGACACACCAAAGAGGGCGGGGGAAAAAATAGTAAAAGGAGAATTCAAAGAATTATGCTTTCTACTATTTTTTTCCAACAGCAACACAACAAACAGAAAACAATATCCAGAACAACAAGCAAACAAAATACATAATCACAACCAGCAACAAAAATATTTAATCACAGCATACAACATTAAATAATTCAAACAAGCATACCAACAAAACAGCAACACTCTAAATCATCAAAGAACCCAAACTCAAAAACACACATCAACAAAAATCAAAGCAACATACCAACAAAAAATATCGCAAGAGTATCAAACAAAACAAAAACAAACAGCCAAAGCACGAAAAAATTGAAGAAGCATACCAAGTCTAAACAACGCACTTTGAAAGAGATATGCAAATTAGGAAAATATAATATTTCAATCTTTACAAACGATAAATATATTACAATTATAACATATAATATTTTACATGTGATAATCATAGTATGAGTTCAATTTTATTCTAATGAATTTTAAAATTCTCTTTCAATTCGTTTCACTATTTTATCAGCTGTTTTTTGATTAGAAATATTATTTCCTATTTCTTTCACAAATGCCTTCATTACACTAATTGCAGGTCTTGCCGTATATCTAAGTTCAAGAGATTTATACTTATAATCTATAAACTCATTTAAAAAATCATAGCCATTTTCAATATATTTTTAACATCAATATCTTCATGGACAGTATCACTAAATTCACTATACACACTTTCTATATCACTATATTCACTATATTCACTTTCTGTGTCACTCATTTCTGATATATTGAATATTGTTGGTGGGTAACAAAATATTATTATTATTTTATTGATTTATAGTAAAATAATTATATTTTTGTTTGATAGATTTATATGAATATTAATTAGGTTAAATTTAATTATATTGAATATGAAGCTTTATACGGAGCTTTATAAGAAGCTTTATAATGGGCTGTATAAGGAGCTTTGTAAGAAGCTTTATAAGAAAACCTGTATAAGGAGCTATGTAAGAAGCTTTATAAGAATAGCTTTATAAGGAGCTTTATAAGGAGCTTTATAAGGAGCTTTATAAGGAGCTTTATAAGGAGTTTTATAAGGAGCTTCCAAAGGAACTTAAAGTTGTGCAGGTTTGCAAAAAATGTAAAATTGTAGGGAATTAGATTTTTACATTTTTTGCAGAAGTTGCCATGGCCAGCTAGCCGGTTTGCAAAAAATGTAAAATCCAAATGTGTGTGTGTTTTTACATGTTTTGCAAACGGTTTGGATTTTGATAAGAAGAAGCTTTATAAGGAGCTTTATAAGAAGCTTTTGCTATATTAATAGGTAGAGTATATTGTTTATCTATAAGTTATTTTCTTAGGATTATTTTATCTTAATATATTAAGTCAATATTTGTTTAAGTCGTTTTCAAAGAATTTATTTTATAATGACCGTACGCAAGTGAGTTTATACTATCTATCCAATATTTTTTGTTTTCATAACTACTAAGAGCAATTTTTTTAGTTGTTATACTAAAAATTCTGTGGTTTTTACTTCTAATACTATTAAATGACTTATGTATAACCTCATTAGTTTTTAAAACCGTCTCAAACTCTTCATATTTCATTTGACGTCTTACTGTGCCTTTTGCTATGCCCTTACATTTCTTATATTTTTTATCATCACCATAAACTGAGTAAGCGTAGCATTTAGGACGAAGGGCTATAAACCCTGTTATTATTTTACTTTTTAATTCATCCTTAAATTTACCTAATACTTTCTTGTTATTCTCATCATAACATTTATGTTCCTTAGGATAATCTGAAAAATCTATTTCTTTTTTAATTGTATTCAGGTCTTCATAAATGTCAACGGTTTTAGTATGAAACACAAAACTATCAGTATCAGTATATACCATTTTAATATTATCTCCATATTTAGGCTTCATAACGTCATAATAAAAATTTATACATAAAATACTCATCCCAATAAATATAGGTTTGTCTAGTTTCAACTTTGTTTTTTGCTTTTCAACTCCGACCAAATTTTCATTAATGATATGACTATGTTTGAAGTTAGGATTACTTACACACTTCATATATCTAGTTTCATCACTCACAACTTCAAAATCTAAATGTTTTCGCTTATCCTCCATTGTTTTTCCAAATATGGCATTGTTCATCAATTTATAAACATCTTTCTCAAAATCATTTCTAGCATTCTTCCTCTTCTCAGTGTTAAACTCAATGTACAGTTTTAAAACTTCTTTTTGTTCAAATTTAATTGCTCTATGAATTTTATTAAGTTTTAACCCTTGCTTCAAATAAAACTGTAAGGTTCTTATATGGGTTACATATTTTGCTTTATCATTCAATTTCAATACTAATTTATTTGTTTTCTCATCCGTAGGCTTTTTATGATTTAAGAATTCATAAATTTCAATTTGTTTATCTGACAGCATGTTGGCTTTAACATTCATAACCTCAGGTGCCATTGGATAGTCGTTGTGTAAATCGTGTAGTTCTTTAGGATATTCTAAATCCACTTCTAAAATATATCCAATATTATTATCTTTGTAATTAATAATGTCTTCTTCTTTTAATGTATCATCCCATTTCAAATTTTAATATGGCAGTTTTTGTATCATGCTTAACCCGTACAAATTATTATAACTACCTTCTTTACTTTCATCATATTCTTCTCCCATGTACTTATTATTTGCTTCAACTTGTTTAGTAGAAACCACACACATCCCTCCTCTAAGTCCTGCTTCTATCATTTCATACATTTCTTGGTCATATATTAAATCAATCTCTACACCAGTCATTTTAAGCATAGCACTTGCAGTACCGGCACTGCACATTCGACTCAGTCAGTTTTGCCCACTTGAACAGTCTTCCCCACTTAATCACGCATTTGGAAGAAGGCATGGCGCCATCCGAACTGCGTTGCCGCAGTCGGTGCAGCAGCTGCCCTACAACTTGAGCATGTTTCGACAGGCGTGATCAACGATTAACGATGCCGCAACATGAACTGTGCCACGACAGAAACACTCAGGCAAAACGGACGAGCCCATTTTACCTCTGCGGGACTGTGTGCTTGAAGTGCGACCGCTTCCGAAGCCGTCAGGCTTCGCAAGCAATGATTCCAAAAACCTGACTGCGGCGACGCAGTTCAGTTTTTGACCTTTTCGAGGCCCAGGAACCAGTCCTTTACGTCAGCGAGCTCCTGCTTTGTGCAGGGATCATCAGTCCACCACTCAATGCCGTCGTTGAAGGTCACTTTCAGCCAGTGTACCAGCGTTGGCCCGTGGGGAATTTTGGCGCCCGTGGCAGCCGGCGGAACTGCGCGGCGATATATCAGCAGCGACCCATTGTGTATAGGTGTAGGTGCCGCTGGAATGCACCCTGCGCACCGGCGCGAGTCTCTTTGTCGCTTTCATGCTTCCCCGAGTTCTGAAGGGCAGCCCAATCACTCGGGATCTCTTGAACCTTGTTCTCACGCGCGACCGAGTGCCGAGCTTTGGGAACCCGTCCCGCCACTGCCTCTCCACTCGCAGCAATTGTGCTCCTTGCCATCGACCTGACTCAAGCGGCATCCACCGCCACTCATCTTGGTCCGGGTGCTCATCTTGGTCCTCGTCCTTCTGTGACATTTTGTCATCCGGCTCCTCCTCATCATCCTCATCTGAGATTCCGCTCAGCTCAGAGTCAGAATCACGAACATTGACACGCTCAAGGGTCATTGTCAGGTGCTCCGCACGCTGGAGTTGTTGCTGCAGCCCGTCGTCATCCTCCTGCATGTCGTCAGCCGGCGACGTTGGCGAACAGTTGAACCAGGCCGGAACTTCTTCCTGCTCCTTGTCCATGTCAGTGTCAAGCTGCGTCGCCGCAGCTGATTTTGGCATGGGCAAAAACGGAGTTGGGCTTGCCGGCTCCTGCTTGCACTCCTCCACCGGCAGCTGAGTGACAGTGGGCTCCTCCGGCTGCAGAGTTGGAGTTTCCTGCTCCATGCTCGGCACCACAGTTGGCGTCGGCGCAAGGCTGCTTGGGGATCCGCCTCGTGAGTGATCCAAGCAAGCGGTGAACGCAGCAGCTCTTGCCTTCACGTTGGTGGGCTGAGGAGCCCAGGGGAAGCCTTCACCTTGTCATAGTCCATGTGAAGGAACCACTCCTTGCGTGGGACAGAGTCTTCTTCCCAGTGAGGGGTGTGGGCACAGTCGTGCCACCTGCTTGCTGCAATCTTTTCGTATACGGGCACCTCCACGTGGCGCCCCTGCAACTCTTTCGGCAGCAGGCGGCATTGCGGCTGGAAATTCCGCGAGCGCGCCTCGCCCTGCTGGACCCGCATGTTGTACCTCACGATCACCTTCACTATCACGAGGTCCTCCGCATTCCACACCAGCTCTGTGCCACGATGCATGTTCAAAATCGTCCTGGGGGTGTGGCCCAGAAGCTGGAAGCCCGAAGCGTAGAAGACATTGTTGCCGAAGACATTTGTCTTCCACGCGTAGTGGTCGAAGACGTGCTCCCAGTCTTCTGCTGTGTGCCTTGGCGCACAAGGTCGGGCAAGACTACAACAACCAAGGACTAAACATTCAGGAATCATTACCAAACACAAATTTCTTGGCAAGGCGCACTCCGACTCCACGGCCTCCTCGGCCGTGATACTCGCGTGCCCCCAGCCCGGCGTCGTTATCTGACGCAGTCAGCTTTCCCTGTCTCAGGATTGCCGGGGCACATTCCCAGTAGGTGCCGTGAACCACCGAGTGCAAGTGGATGCCATCTGCGTTTCCGCAGATGTCTTGAATACGACGCTGCCACTGCGCAGAGTGCTGTCTGTCCGACTGCAAGTAATCGAACTCGATGTGGCCGGAACTTTTTTGGTCTCCTGGGGGAAATGGCGGCATTGGCCCAGAGAGTCGCAGACTCCGTGGACGTGCGCCCAGTGCCGCACCATCATCTCCACCAAGGC